AAGTTTTTTAAACATTTCTTCCAATCGAAACACTTTAGTAAGACAGGGATGGATATCTTATATATCACAGTAAAAATGTCATGGACATTAAATGCTCTCTAATTCAAGGGGAACCCATTAATTGTCGTTCCGGACTAACGCCGATTATTCGAACGATTTCAGATTATATATTACACCCAAAGGGACATTTGTTAGCGCTTTCTGTGTGACTTTTATTTATCAAATATCATGTTCTTCGCACTTAAATCATAAAGTTAAATTCAACAGAAATATCGCAAAATAATTTAAGAACAGCATGTCTTTAGAATTTCTGATACACAGTCTCGTGCGCTGGAGATAATTTTTTTTTTCTTACAGTGTTGCCATTGCTCGCTCTAAAATCATTGACTTTTCTAATTAAAAACTCGTTAAAGATTTACAAAACATGAAATAGATAATGAAACAAATTCTAAATTCGGCTTCCTGTGCCCATATTTGAGTGGATGACTATGTGATTCAAAATTATAAAAAAGAGAAAAAAATATTAAAAAACCTAGTTCCGTCAATACAAAGATGGTTTCATTAAGGGATTTAACATTGTCGGTGGGTTCTTTTACAATGGACAAAAAAAAAAACAAGAAGAGTTAAAAAAATGCAAAAATCAGCCCAACTTACCATCAAGAGAAAGTTTAACTTCCGATATTTACGAAAAATTTCCATTTCTTTATCGCAATGATTTTCAAAGAGTGTAACTTCATCGAGGCAGAGCAACAAGTCGTACTTCGGAAAGTACTACTGCATTCCTTGAAAAATTGAAGACTCATACAGGTATTGCATATATACTTTTCAATGTATTGCTGCTAAATCCTCTGATGTTTCAACTACGGACTGTTGTGTCTTTCGTCTGTTGAAAAGACTTCACTATGAAACTCGCTATGATGTTTTCTGGAAAGTAGTGGAAGAAGACGAAAATCAGTACCCCTGGAAATTTTACAAAAGACCGTTCTATCATTTACATGACAACGCAGACGTATTTACGCAGAATAAAGGCTATCGATTTGAAGATCGATCTAGAATAACAGATTTTATATTTTAAGCATAAATTCAACAGACTCGAAATCGTTTTAAAAATGTGTCAAAGTCCTCCGTATCTCTCTTTCTACTTGTTGAAGTGCTATGCAGCTTATAGAAGACTTTCGCTTGCTTTTATAGCAACGTTAGAAGGTGTGTTAGCGTAGAACCGGGTCTTTAGATTTAAAATTCGTTTTGTAATTTTTTTCCCCCAAAGGAGCAATTTGCCCAGAAGGACTATTAACTTCGTTTTGGCATTTTGGGTTGATACACTTTAACTGGCGAATCACTTTTAAAATTTTTATCACCTAAATATTATAACCCTATATTATACTTAAAGGAATTAAATAATGAGGAATTTGCATAAATGTATGTATGTTTCTCGTATTGTGATATAAAAGCGGTACCTATAGAACCATCAAATTTTTAACAACGCACGTTTCCACCCGAATATGGGCATCTGGAAGTCCAAGTTTGGAATTTGTTTCATTATCTGTTTCATGTTTTGTGAAATTTTAACGAATTTTTGATTAAAATCTCAACGATTTCAAAGCGAGCAATGGCAACACTGTACGAAAAAAAAATTATTATCTCCAACGCGGAAGGCTGTGTATGGGAAACAAAGATATATATTTTTAAATATTTTGTGATATTGCCGTTGAATTGAATTTTATGGTTTAAGTGAGAAGAACATGATATTTAACAAATAAAGGTAACACACAAAACGTTAAAAAAATGCCCCTTTGCGCGTAATGTAAAATCTGTAAAAAGCTTTCAGTTTTTTTTTTTTTTATTTTTTATTTTTTTTTTTTTTATTTTTTTTTTGGTGGGCACTCCGCGGACTTGGCTTAGCCACAACTAAGGCCAAAAGTGGTGACCATTTAGGTGGGCCGCATTTGGCTCCTGTGAAGGGAGCATATTTAAGTACCAAATTCGTATGTATGTTTATGTTTTAGTGTATTAGCACAATGACTAAGTATGGTTATTATTATCTAGATAAAGGTGGACGTGGACTATACCGATTAACCGTAATGGTAGACGAGTGCTGCCCACGTCCTCCGTCGCATGTCGCATGTGAAGTGAACATTCAAACTTATGCATATTTAGACACACATTCCGGTAATAAAAATAAAGAGATTCAGACGAATATAATTGACAGAAAAGATAACATTTCACAAATACTTATCCCAGTAAGGGAAATTTCTTTGACAAGTGTGTGTGTGTGTGTGTGTGATTATGGCAAAGCCTCGGGGGCTATCTGCCTAAGAGGAGGGACGCCTTCGTGGAGGACTTTCTAAAGGAAACTGCCTCGTATATACGTTACACATGGAGAAAACCACGAAAACGCCCATGCAGCCAGCCCGTTCGCGGGATTCGAACCTCGGACCGAACTACCAGTGTTCAGCGACTTTACCGCTCGGCCGCTGGTGGGCTCTTTGACAAGAAGACACCAGAAAAGTTGCGTTTAAGAATAATTTTTCTATGATTGGTAATTCCTTTAAACGTCATTTAGATACTGTTATCATTATCTCCTCATCGCAACCAGCCAATACTTTGGCTGAATTTCAATCTAAGTTAGCTAAAATTGATGTTTAAAATACAGAAATCCAAATTACGAATATGCGTTTAACTCGTGCGAAGGATCTTCTGATAGGTTGTGATACACAGGAGCATCAAGAACACCTTAAACATTTAATATCATCTTCTCCAGGTGCCAATATTTCGGCACGTGTACCCAGATCGCATATGGATAGAATTCTTTTATTTGGCATTCCTGTTAATGTAGCTGATGCTGCTATCGAAGATGCTTTTAAGGCGCTCTTGTCGAGAGATACTAATTCAAATGTAAATTTTATCACAAGCTTTAAATGCACAGACAATAGTAAGATTTTCATTCTACAAATAGACAAGCAGTCTTTGACATTACTGGGTCATAAGGGTCGCGTTTATGTTGGATTTCATTCTTGTAGTTTTCGTAAATATATTCGAATTTTAAGATGTTAACCACCATATTCGGAATTGTACAAATTCTTCATTTTGCTCTCATTGCGCTCATACGCATGATAATTTAGTTCCGAACTGTAAAAAGACTCCATCTTGTATTAACTGTTTAAGATCAAATTTAGAAACGCATACACAGTACAACATTTGTCACACTTCTAATTCTTATGCTTGCCCTGTTTTTTAAAAAAGAGTTACGTTCTTAGTTAAGGGCTATGTCTTAAGATAGCAAACTAAATGTTATTGATATATTATTTGTTTGTTTTTCTTTTCTTAGTTTTTGAGAATAATTGTATTTCAAACCGGAACATGTTAATTAGCAGGGCATTTATTCTATAATTAAGATAAATTATTGCCTAGATAAGAATTGATTTAGATAGATAAGAATCATTATAAATAGATAATGTTCTTTGAATTAAATTTTACTGCTCCGTTTTTCGTATTAACTATGAACAATGAAATTTGATTTTTACCATCAGTGTTCTGTAACTTTGCTAGACATTTTAAAATAGCTTCTCTTTTAGTTCCTTTATGAAATTTTTGTCAAATTATGTTTATTCACATATTATGTGCTCTTTGGTTTTGATATATATGCTAGTTCTTTAAATTTAAAATTTCAAAGTCCAAATTTCCAATTACTATGCCTAACTTTCATAGCAATGCTTTTTACATTTCCCCTTCAAGACGTAGTTTTCTTCCCAAATCATTTTTCTTTTTCTAATCGCACGAAGCACCTAGTGCACAAGGCACAATAGTCTTCTTAACAAAAACTTTCATCTTCTTATGACTATCGTTCAATTTAGAACATCTGATCCGCCACCAGCCCTTGGCTGTGGTGCGCTCATAGTGATTTCTTCTTCCGTGGGATGGTATTATCTTGTTCGTTGCCCTACAGGACAGCTTAGGTCAGGAGCCGTCTCTTCGGGTAGAGCTGTGAAGGGGTGAAGCACAGTAACAACCATGCCTACTCCAGGATTCGAACCCGGGCCCTTTGGTATCGCAGTCGGCTCTCCTAACCGCTATACCATTTAGACGGCCGTTTTGTAAATATTTCAAGGCAAAGTACGAATAAATGTTTCAGTTATTTTAGATTTGTTGTAATTATTTTGTGTTAGTAGATTATTAGACAAAACGAGAAGTCATCTAGTAGTTTAGGAATGTTTTCCAGTGTTTTAAGTCAGCGTTTTAAGTCAGCGTTGTTATGCTATAATAATTCAGGTGATGTTTGAGTAATATGAGCACAAACTGTAAATCAAATGTAGCACAATTACAGCAAGGTTTCACACATTTCAGTAAACATCATATTACCAATTTCTCAGATCCTTTAATTGTGGTTAAAACAAAATCTTCTATGCAGTGATTGTAATCATTTTTTTAACCCTCTTAGCGTTATGACTGGCTTTATCCTGTGACCAGAAGTTTTGTTACTTGGCATATATTAGCATATAATTTAAGATATTTTGCTTTGTTACTTTCTTTGATAATGTAAATATCATCTTAATGAATGTAAGTTTATGAAAATATCGATTAAAATAATTATACAAATTAAATTAATAAATGCTGTTTAAATACCGGTCTAAAATCCTGAGCCATTCAGAGGGTTAATTCGATTACCGTTATAAAAATCCCGGTTTTGATTGTAACAAACTGTAATTTTACACAAACGATGTTACAATGCGTGGCGAATATAAAAAGTTATAAACGTGAAATTTCAAAAGAAAGAGGGTCCAATAGTAGCTGTTAGTAATAACAGCTATCCAATATGCAATAATAAGTATGACTGATGTTATATTTAGTGAGATCAAAATCCAACCCTAAAAATGTTTCTTGAAAACTAGAAATCAGAAAGAGCAGATAAGAATTGATGATTGTTCACTAAAGAAGCCCGAAAAGAGCAAAGTTCAGAATGATTACCAATGAACATCCGTCTCATCAAACAGATGTTCTTTTGCCATGTTCTACTGAACGTAACTGCAAAGAATCGATAATTCTCACGGATCATAACACGTAGCCCTGGTGTTCAACCCGTTAGGCAACAAGTAAGCGATAAAATAATTTACAGATTTTATGTCAATTTATTCTATTATCTATCCATCTTTATTCTATCATCCATTTATTCTGTCTAAATTACTTTCTTAATTTAGAACATAGCACATTAGAGCAATATTCAAACGCTTTTCTGTAAAACTTCTTATAATAATGTGATAATAAAAATTATATAAATCATGAATGATCATCAAATTCAATTAAAATACTGTTAAACTTTGAAGAATGCGAACCTGAACTATGAGGCGTTTTTTTTTCAATAAATATATTAGAAAATAGTTTTTAGATTTAAGACGGTTTGAAAAATTCGTTCGTCGCAGAGTATTATAATAAAGAAAATATATATGCGTTACTTAATTATAATTTTAATTAATTATATTCTTTTATAATTATAATAAGGAAATATATATGTGGTTAAATAGGTATCGACAGTCAAAGATCAACGGATTCATTCTTACAAGAGGGTATAAATTTTAATGTCGATAATTCCAGTATGACAAATAATGTACAGGTATTGTCTTTTTTCGTGGTTTTCTTTATGGTTATACATGGAGCCTTTTTTAATAAATATATTAGAAAATATTTTTAAGATTTAAGGCGGTTTGAAAAATTCTTTAGACTAAAGCTGAGTGTTAAAATCTCTCAACAGAGTATTATAATAAGGAAATATATATGCGGTACTTATTTAAAATGTATGCCAATATAGGTATTCTAGGTATTGACAGTCAAAAATCAACACATTCATTTTTACCAAGAGGATATAAATTTTGATGTCGATAATTCCAGTATGATTTATAATGTACATTCTATTTTCTTTTCTTCATGGTTTTCTTCGTGGCAATACATGGAGTCCTTTTTAATAAATATGTCAAAAAATATTTTTGAGATTTAAGACGGCTTGAAAAACTCCTTAGACTAAAGCTGAGTGTTTATGGAACTATATGTGCTATTTATTTCACATATGTTAATATAATATCGACAGCCAAAAACATAGATTCATCTTTCAGCCAAGAGGATATAAATTTTGATGCCGATAATTCTAGTATGATAGCATTGCACATGTGTTGTCTTTTCTTATGCTTTTCTTTGTAACATCTCCTTTTGTCTAACTTATACGAGAGTAAGAATTCACCATATTATATATATAATATACAGTTCCTTATATATGAATTAACTAACTCTTGATAGTTACTAGTAAGGCTCATAATTAAAAGCAATATTAGTAGAAAAAGTTCAGAGAAACAGAAGTTAAACATGTTTTTCTACATAACCTCTTTATTGTTAAAAAGCTCAGCTGTACTGATTTAAAATTAGCTACGAGTTAATCAAATGAAATGGATTTTTAAGAACGCTAAATAATTTCATATTTTGACAGATGATTATTCAAATGATTATTCAAAAACTTTGTTTGAAATTCGAATCGTAGTACATAACTAAGTATATACATATCAGAAAATATATTTAGTAGAGTGACTATAATATAACTGTAGTTCGCAGCAGGTATATAAACTTCAAATATATTGAATGAAAATATTTATAAAGCTACTTATTTTACATTGCGTAACATGGTCTGTTTCTTTAGAGTTCGTTTTGCGCCATTTTAGTTTTACAAAGATCCGTATTAGTATATTTGTTTCGCAACCGAAAAGGAACTGAAGAGGGTTTTCTTTTTTCTGTATGTAGCAAAACTAATGCTCAGAGTTTTATTTTGGGCACACACTGCAGAACAAAATTACTTTAAACTCTGTAAGAGCACTTAAGCTTAGAGTAGTTTTGGAAAAGAAAGAATGGATAATTAAATATCAATCGCACTGTTCTATTTGAGGTCTTTCCTAACAAGCGGATAGAATAAACACTTTAATCTCCGATAATAAACAGGATGACACAGAAGTTACACACGTAGAGAACCGAGAAAGAAAAATGCAGGGAAAAATGTTAATAGGTCGTTCTGTCCTGCTCCTTAAACTTTTGCATCTTCCACCTCCAAGCCTTCAACGATACGGCTAAAAGAAGATCCATACGATCTCTAATTTTTCCAATAGGTTGTATTATCAGGTTTGAATGGTCAAATTACACTTCAGATATTATTTTTTACACTGAAGATATTTTCAAATTTTCTTCACTAATGTCCAAAATTGCCTTTACATGCATGCAATCACTAACTTCTCATAAAATGTGAACTATAATTTTATGAATTTGTAAGGAATAATACATAATATCATAACGCAAACACAAAGAAAAACTTTAAGAGCACTGTATGTGACATAAAGTTGAAGCATGAAACAATACAAATGGTAATAATACGTTACGAGAAGAGTTCAGAGAAAAGAAATGATAACTGAGAAAAACAAATTAAGGCTTTCTACCTTGATACACGTATCACAAAACGTGTTTGCATGCTAGCAATAATGCCGTTAACTATACACTGGGAAATGAAGTTCCATTCCTTCAGCAGTGCGGTTTCAGGGAATTTAAAATTTCTAGGAGGAGAATGTCTCCGTGCAATCTGTAACTGCTTAATTTACCTAAAATCGTAGAAATCTACGACACAGATTCTTTTAATTTAGTTTAGCGGCATATCACTACAAATCATTTGGTAAATATGTTTTCAATGAAACGTCATGACATATCATTTTGTGACTATGTGGTTCACGTAACTTAATAGAAACGTACTGGTTACTATCTTTGCTGCTCGAAATATTGCCTAACAAATATTCTTTTTTTTTTTTTTTTTTACAAATCTCTTCAGAGGCAAGAAATTTTATTCTCAGAATATGCAATTTATTTACAGTCAGTTAATACTGACTACAATATCGGCCTACCTTAATTTTATTCTCAGAATATGCAATTTATTTACAGTCAGTTAATACTGACTACAATATCGGCCTACCTTAATTAGTTTTCGCGCGAGCTTTCATATTCGTGAGACTAAAAGGTCACTGTTTTCCTCTTTTGTAAAGTGTGATACATTTTTTACTGTTCTAAAGTGATTCAAGTAAACAGTATATATGAAAAAGTAAAATTTCTGCAATTTCTTTCCAAGAAGTATGTATTTGATCATCTTGGAAAAAAAATCTGATGTGTACACCACATGACTTCCTTGTACGGAATACTAAATTATACGCATTTTTCTTGCATTTCATTAAAACTTATTGGATTGAATTAAATCTACTTCGCCGACAGCGCATAAACCACAACAGAATAAATGCATTCTTTAAAATTCACTCTATTTGTTTACCATAGCGACACTCTGGCGCTAGGTTCACTTAACAGTATTATATTTCGTTCATATTATAACTCAGAATGCACAAAATTTATATCGTTTAAAGAATTATCTAATCGTTGCCACATGTTCTATTCAAATACTATAATAAAGCTAGAACGATGTATAAAAGAAATTAAGGAAATAAAACAAAAAAGAAACAGTTTTCCACAGACGATTGAGTATTTCTCATTCAATTAATTCAGTTCTCACTTCGCGACGAGGCAAAAATATCTGTATTAAAAATTACGAAGTAAATCTTAAACACTTATTTCCTCGAAAAAATTCCAGAAAGGATTAAGCATGATTTAATTCGCAATAATAAATGAAGGCGTTACCTTTGTTGTTGCGAAGCTAAGTTTCTCTACATTGGCAACAAATCCACTATTCTGCTGTTTCAAATGTAAACAAGCAATGGCCGCCATCAAAAACATTATTACGCTTAGCGGCACTTAAACAACTTTTAAATTGTCGATAATTTTAAAAATATTGCATACAGATTTACTGAAGGCATAAAAACCTCAACCGGAAGATAAGAACAACATAATTCAATCATTTTTAAAGCAAAAAATGTACAATTTACAAACATATAAGAGTAAAGAAACTGTGATCACTGAGCCGGAAAACAGAGAGGATATATATATAAATATATTTATATACGTTTGGTGCGGCCGATTGCAACCAAAATATGAGGTGCACTATGTTGAGTTATGCGAGATACGTACGTACGTACATATGTTCGTATAGACGCCACGAAAAATTCTCTTCAGAATTCATATTAAAGCAGTTTATAATTTTTTTGGAGGAAAAGAGTCTTTTATTCTGCCCTTACGTACAGATAGCACACAAAAGCATCGTTAAATTTTATTCGACAGCGGTCAAAATGGATATTTTCGTTGAAATATGCAGCCTGAAACTTTTCGCGATTACAATACTTCCTTTTTACTTCGTAGAAGGAAGTAAAAAGAGAACTCTGGTGTCTGGATGGAAATTCTACTAACATTTGTATATCTTAAAATGCTGAAAGGAAAAATTGCGAATCTGCTAAAAATGTTCATCAACAGTAACAACAGGCCCACTAGCGGCCGAGCGGTAAAAGGCGCTGAACACTGCTAGTTCGTTCCGGGGTTCGAGTCCCGGCGAACGGGCTGGCTGCATGGGCGTTTTCGTGGCTTTCCCCATGTGTAACGTGGATGACTGACTGACTGATAACTTATAGCCAGAATACCACTGAGATCAGTAGTTTATCTGGCTCAATCAAATTTATGCCGGATGGGCACAATAACATAGAACTATCTTCACATAATGTCCGCAGTAAGGAGGAGAAAGACGGATAAAGAATAGGAAGACCAGCAAAGCAAGAGCTCACAAGCAAGTAACCGGCCCGGTAAAGGCGTGACTAAGTGGGAGTCATAAAATGAGTGTAGAATGTGAATAAAACTAGAGAATTTAAGAAACTACACAGTACAATAAATGAGAGTAAGATACAAAATTAAGAATGCTAAATAAACACATTGGGTACATTATTTACAGGTGGGCACTAGGTGGTTTCGGTCCCTGATAAGGTGCGGGTCCCTGATAAGGTGCGCCGCAAGTGGGCGCAGTTTGGCGTCCTCATTCAATATTTCGTAGGTAAAGATATCGAAATTTCTCATATGGTCACAGTTCTGAGCTTTCGTGAAGAATTTCCTGTTGATCTTATTTCAGGTGCTCTTCTAGAGTTGTCCAGTTTTAAGTCAGAGTGCAAGTGTAGCATTGCTCACAAAAAAGTGAGCATGGGTGATGATAAGCCTTAAGACTTTGTTTTGCATTGATTTGAAGTCTTTTTATATCCTCCTTGGTAGCCGTGCACCAGGCCGGCGACGCATAAGTCATCAATGGCCTAATTGCCGTGATATAAACTAGCCTCTTTTTCCTGAGGTCTAAGCTAGAATAATTACTCAATATAGGGATGAGACTATTTACAACAGTGAAAATTTTTCTTCTGAACTCTGTTATATGATCTCCCCATTTTAATCTTTCATTTACGAGCCAGTTTCCCTTAAAAAGACCTCCACGAGGCATCCCTCCCTTTCCGTGTAGTGCCTAAGAGCAGAGCACGTAATAAAAAAAAATTAAAAAAAAAAAAAAAAAAAAAAAACAGTAAAGACATTATTACTCGAATTAATAACATGCTTATCAATTCTAATGACTCTATTAATACCATTATTATCATGAATTATTAATATTATTAAATGCCCCGTTAAAAGATTAAGATTTTAAACCTTTTATTGAAAGCAGATGAAAACTTGACTTTCCACATTGGGTATTTGGCACCCTAAGCCAGAGGTTTCCAACCCTATGCCCGTCGATCCTTTAACGTCTGCCCTCCGCTTTGCGATTACAATAAAAATGTTCTAGTTTTCAATAGAATTCTATGTAAAAGTTTTCTCATTTTTAATGAAATAGGAATTGCGTCCAGCGCAGATACCAGCACAGAGAGAAATGCAACCGATCTCTTTTTTCGGTACATGTATTATTAATTCTATCCAACCATAAATTCACCTTGAAAAGTAAATGGTTCCCGCTGTCCAACAGATATTATAGAATGTGCTGTTAGGGACAAAAAGGTTGGGAAGACCTGCCCTAAGCCAAAATCTCTGAGCTCGACTGGGGGCTCGAATTTTAGCGATCTTGCTGGCCGCATGTATATTTTTGTGTTTTACCCCATGTGTAATGTATGTGTATAATAGTCAGTTTTTTTTAAGAAGTCCTTCCCAAAGGCATCCCTTCTCTTAGGCAGATAGCCCTCGAGTGCTTTACCATAACCAGATAAACCGAATCAGAGTTAGATTGTGGTATCTCTCTGTTAAAACTTAGTCAGTGCTCTCAAAATGCACATTCGTTTTCAGTGTGTGTTCCTCCGAAGAATACTCCGACACTTTATTATTCAAAGCATAACAAATTACCTTCCAAAGCAATTTTATACTGATTTTAAGCAATCGCAATCTAGATGAATTTTCGATTGTTTGCTTTGATATTTAATTTTCTGTCATTGTACGCAAGGTTTAGTATTCTAAAAGATCTAAATCACGCAAAAGTGATTCCATAACAAAAGTTCATTATTAAATAAAAAAATGCGAATGATAATTAATATGGGATTTTAAAAATGTAACAGGAAAGAAAAATATCATTTCAAAATTGAGAAAATTACCTAATTTAATAAAACAGTTACATGACATTCCGAAGCATTTAAACGCAAAACAATTAAAATATCACTAAAGAGAAGAAAGAAATTGAGTCTTTAAATCTGGAAATTAAGGATAATGCCTATAAGCAGAATTTCATACACGGTCCTCTTAGAGCATGTATTACTGACCTAATGATTATTGGATTTGGTTTAGTCCCGACTTAGACCAGGAGAAATTAACAAATGACAAGCAAATATTAAAGCTAAATAAAAAAAATCTGATATGTACACCTCATGACTTCCCTGTACGGAATATAAGCATTCTTTTCTGCATTTAATTTAAACTTATTTCCTCGCATTTCATTAGAGCTATATTTCTCCTTCAGTTAGTTCAGCTCTCCTTTCGCAGCAAAGCAAAAATACATAAAAGCTCAAAATATTTTCATTAAAAATTGAAAGGTATAAAAACATAAAAAGTAAAATAGAGTTAAAACAATTAAAAACCAATTTTTAGAATTAAAATTACAGTTTCTAAGCAAAAAAGTAATTCCGCCAGCAGGCAAGAAGGCAGATTTTTCGGTGGACAAACTAAGAGTTTCCTTTTGGTTCCACTCAGCAAAAAGACACTGAAAGTGCAGAAAGACTATACTGCTGAGTTCACTATACTCCTGAGTTTCAAATGTAAACAAATATGGCTGCTATAGTAAAAAAAAAATAGGCTTAGCAACACATAAAGAACTTTTAAATTAGTGATAATTCTAAAACTATTGCATGCAGATTACCTAAAGGCATAAAAATCTTAACCGGAAGATAAGAACAATATAATTCAATCATTTTAACACAATTTACCAACACGAAAAAAATCTCTTCTCAATCCATTTTAAATCAGTTTTATAATTCCTTTGGGGAAAAAAAAGAGTCCCTTATTCTGTCCTTACGTCCAGATGTCAAGCAAAAACATCGTTAAATTGCATCCGATAGAGGTCAAATGGATATTTTCGTTGAAATATGGTACCCGGAATATTTTGTGATTACAGTATTTCTTTTACTTCATACAAGGAAGTAAAAATAAATTAAGCTAAATAGTAAACTGAAACTCAGAACATTTCAGTTTATTACTTAGCCTATATAATATATGTTAATATTAATCATACATTTAATTACGTAATTAATTATAGCTCGAAATTCTCTGCAATTTTTGAAAAGGAAATACTGTATGGAAAAAGAACAGGAAAAGATTGGTTTGGTTTATGTGATTACGGCAAAACCTCTAATTCTTGGAGCTAACAGCTCTAATTCTTGAAATAATATAATAATATTCAGTAATATAATATAATTGAATAATATTATTCTTACATTTCTTACTACATTGCTTAGCTTACCGAATGAATGAGGACTAATATACCTATTTTTGAAATAATTCATATCTTTATTTTTTTACAGTATCTCAGTGCTATTTATGATAGTATTTTATATTTAATGAAAACTTATTATTATACACCAACTTTATTTTCAGATCTATTTCTCGACAATCGAAAATGAAAATTTCCTGCATCGTGGCGATAATCGCCTCGATCCTAATATCAGGTATTATTTGCAATGCTTGGTTAAAGTATTAATTAGATACTGATAGTATAAACATATCCATCTCTGTACTTGTACCATTACTCTTTAATGAAATTTCGATTAGAAAAAGGATAAATCAACAGTATTCTTAAAGTTTATTGTTAAATTTTCAGAATTTGAAATGTAAGCAGGTTTTAAAGGATATAAAAAGAATCTTATTATTAATTTCAATATTTTGGTGGGGGCGCGTAGGATGAAAAATAAATAAAAATCCCATCATCCAGCTTTCTCTTAATAAAGGAATTGGCAGAAAAATAACATAGTCTATATTTTCTGTTATTATATCATTAATTATTATTATTAACATAGTCTATATTTCTGTTATTTCTGTTTTACTTATTTTAGCATTCATTATTTTTTAGTGAACAGATAACTATAATATTTTATTTAGTTCTAAGCGATCACAAATGAAATTCTTAGTCATGAAAACCATGTAAAATGGAAAGTACCTATTACAATTAATATTACTATTTCAATATTTACTCTGACAACTAGTTAAAAAAGCATAAATGGTTCGAATATGAAAAATTAACAATAGCAGACAGTTTCTGGTGGAAAAGAGCTTTGTGAATTTTAATAATAAAAGTAAAGAATTTCAACATAATAATTAGGATAACTAAGCAAAGATTTTAATCTCTGATCGCAATTTCCTTTTATTTAACTTATATAGATTGATCTTCCTTGGTAGCATAAACTAGCATCCAAACTCCTGACAGACTTGGTTTGGAGTAATAACAGAGTCTTGAAAAGGATTAGTCCTTAAAAAACCGAAGCCGTCGCTAATATGTACGCTCAAAAGACCAAAACGCCCATCCAGGTTCATTAGCGCACAAAGAGGTGTGAAGATTTCAAATGGCATTCTTTCTACTTCCTAACAAGGAAGCTCCCATTAACCTTTTAGGACAAGCTCTCTGCAATAAACTGGTACAATGTATTTGGGGGGACTACACGTGCTACTGCCTATCCGATCGTTCGTTGCCTTTCTGCCCGGAGTGTCCTCTTATCCAGTTGATCTTTAAAGGGATGGAGGATCCTAACGTCAAGAGGATCTCTCTAAGTGCTGCCGTGTGCGGATGTTTTGGAGGAAATGAATTAAGCGCATTCAGAAAGCTCATGCTATCGGTGAACAATAAAGTGTGAGCTGCTGGTTGCATACTTAACCATAGTGCTGCTTCTTTGAGGGCGAGGGTCTCGGCTTGGAAGACTGAAGCGTGGTTGCTTAGACGGAATTGTGCTTGATAAATTTCTTCATTGTTCGAAAAGACCGTGAACACTGCTCCTACTCGTCCTGAAATTTTTGATCCGCCAGAGAAAATCTCTCTTTGTTGTCCTGAGGGTGGAATTTCCACCAGGGAAGGATGGGTAGATCTCCTGGGTGTTAAGACAGGGGGATCTTGGAAGCTTTCTATGCTGGCATAGGATAGATGTATGTTCTTTAGTGTGAAGATCCTCTTTGTAGTGTAGAAGTCGGTAGACTATCTTTCTAATCCTGCTTTTAAATCGAGTGAGACGGTGCCAACTAGAACATGAAGTGCTGCGGTTGATATGGCGCTATACGCACTGGTGATTTTTAACAGGATTACTCGCTGTATTTGTTGTAGTTTTTGACATATTCTTCCTGTGCCAGTCATCCAGACTGGGCAGCCGTAGAGGATCATGCGTCCAATTGCATTTAGGTATAAATGTTTTAACAGGCGTCCCTTTTGGCTCCATTTGTCTGTGATTATCCTGTTTAGTTTATTGATAATTCGATGCGTCTTATCTCGGACTTTCGTAAGACATGATACCCACGAGAGCTTCTTATCAAGCGTGAATCCTAGGTATTTAATGGTATCCTGGCGTCGCAGTGGATGCCCTTCCCACTTTATGCGTGGTGGATTCGCGTCTATTTTTGAGCCCTTTGAAAAGACTAACATCTGTGTCTCTTCAATACTGAAGCACAGCTTGTTGTCTTGACTCCACTTTGTAAGCAATTTGAGTACTGCGTCTGCTTTACGCTTTATTGTTGTCCCATTGCCTTCATCTATTATGAGTATAATATCGTCGGCGTAAGCTTGTATCTTGGCATTGTCTCCAAAGCTGATGTTTAGCGCTGAATCTGCAATTATGTTCCACAGGATGGGTCTGATATTAGATCCCTTTGTGGTAATTTCATCGTAATATTTATGGCGTCTCTTTTGTAGATCACTTGACGTTCTGTGAGGTAGCTTGTGATCAGTTGGTAAAGATTCTTTGGACATCACCAAGTCTTTTAGTTTTGTTTTGAGCGTAGGGATAGGATAAAGCGAACGGAACATTAGAATTTCGCCTATGGATTTACAGGTTTGGCTCAGTCGCACTACTGCTCTAGCATCACTTCCATCACGGAGCATATTGCGCCTACCCCGCCTTGGGAAAGAGCCAAAAGGAGTCCACTATTAATGCAGAAAGAAAGTAATAGACGATATTATGAGAAAACTGAATCAAAATCATTGATATTCTGTAATCATTTTGTTGTGGAGAAAAAAGCATCAACTTCGTGCAACACAATAACACCTGTCAAAAGTCTGCACACTTCTCTTAGTAATTTTATTAAATCCCAGCGGCTCTTTAAACTAAAAGAGAGGAAACCTACCTTCATTTTTCTTAATTTTTACATTTACAATTTAGATGATTTTTCAGTTTTGAAACACTGTCTTGTCTACTCTCATTTCAGGAGAATGTAAAAATTCTAGGTCATTGTTTAGCGGCTCTAACGAAGAAATAAAAACGAACTGCATCAACAAAGATGTGGATGCTTACTTGGACACTGTGCTGGAAAAGGCGAGAAAGGACCTTCCGGATCCGATGCGATTGCCGCCACGATCCACAGTAGTGGAACTGAGCGATGGTGTTCTGTGGGGTATGTCAACCATCGAAAGAGCAGGCCCTGTGAAAGTGACTTGCGAAGGTTCGAAAATTACAATCAGAGGAAAGCTGACAGCGGAGGAAATCAAGGTAAAGTGTAAAATAGTCTCTTATTCAAAATTTGAAGCTCTTGAAAAGAATCACATTTTCAATGTTAAAATTAATACATAAATATTTTATGTGCAGAAGTATATAAAACTCCATATTATTCAGAAAAGCCATCATACTGACACAGCACTACATTCATTTCTTCATAAGAGAAAGGTCCAATCCTCCAATAAAGTTAAGCTGTTCGTAATGCATGTACAGCACCCCTCAGTGTCACAGAATACAATTAGTAATTATAGCTCAACCTACTAAGAATGTTAAACACAGCGCAGTGCAAAGCTCATCCAAAGAGCGAAGCTTCCACGAAGAACTCAATACTCCGAAGTCGACTCTGAACTAAAAATCTGAGAGGAGATCTTTGATGTGGATAGCATTAGCAACGTTTAGCGGATTCCGCTTTTATTGCTTAACGTGGAGTGGTGACCTGAGGCGCTGGTCATTAGACTTTTAAGGCGAAAAATCGCCACGCCATAGAGGCGGAGCTGAAACATGTTCTACCTCAAGTACGTGAGATAAGAGATTGAAGATTTTCTGAAGGAAAAGCCAATTTTTTTCACAAAGTGAAACTAAAGTATGATTCGTCGAAGCCAGTCACGTGAGAGGTTCCCCCTCCCAAGTACTAACCCAAAGAGATGTATCTTTATTGAAGAAATATGATAAACATTTAAAATAGAAGTTTTGGAGATCTTAAAGTAGTTATGGAGTATTTCAGCGGTAACTTCTGGTATGATAAATTATTCTTCTTCTTCGGCAAACTTCATGAGTGTCACTGCTGCATGAAATTGAGCGACGAACTTCTCTGCCGCGGATTTAGGAGCGCAGATCTTCTCGATGTGAGTGATGTTTCCTCTTTCAAAGGAAATGGCTTCACTGAAGTCATCAGGGACAGCTTGAAGTGGTTTTATTCAACTTCTTGCTGTAGAGTACTTTTAGAAGAAATCTTTTTCTTCTGTAGCTGCGGTTCTTGGGAGTTGTGAAAGGTCATCTTTCACGGGACTAGGAGCTGCTTACGCTGCTGCCCTTCTCATTGGTGCTAGTAGATGGTGATACGAACAAGGAACTACTCACTCAAAGCCACCGAGGTCTCTCTCACCACGTGATTACTACAAGTTTATATAACAATTATAATGATAGTTATTTCTAGCTTCTTTAAATCAAATGATATAATAATAGTTAATATTGTTATTATTATAACTAATTGAAGCTTTAAATCAAAAGATCAGTCACGCCAGTCTGCACTTGCGTGCGTTTGTTAAATAGGGTGGTGACACGGAACACTTAAAATATGATGATATGCTTCAACTTTGAAGCGATGTTTTGCGTTTGAGGAAAGGATAATTACCATAATACCAGGATATAGAATTCTGAAAATTCATGCAATGTAAAAGAATATGAACGAGCATGCCCAACGCTACTGCTTAAAGTGGCCTGTTACATGACATTTATCCTCAACCTTCAATTCTTCTCTCAGAACACGAATTGGAGTGTCTGCCAAGAATCTGTTAACTGTTTTCTCTTAAATATGTAAGGCTAACTTAAAGATTTCTCTAATTTAAACAAGCTTGCTCGGACTTATTTCATTTTCTCTATTGTAACGAAATGCCTCATAAACTTTAACACTACTCAGAACTCTTAACTAAAATATTCATCAGATTTCTAACTTCAGTTTCACAAATTTAAATAACAATCAATAGCCAGTGTTAATTTCGAGATTTCAGCATCTCAAATATTTAAATCTCTGACAATATAAATTTTGGCGACTAACTCGGCTCCATTAAATTAATATTAATCCGAACAGGCACAAAAATCATTTAATACTAATATGTACAAAATCGTCAATTAACACATCGGTGAAAGGAATGACTTTTCTCAGACTTGGGTTCGATTCCACGCCAACGGAATGGCTGCATGAACGTTTTCATGGTTTTCCCCGTGTGTAACAAGCATACGAGTTACTCTTAGACAATCCCCCACGAAGGCAGCCCTCTCTTTAGGCAGATAGCCCTAGCGTGCTTTGCCATAATCAACTAAACAGAACCCAAGCTTCTCAGACTGCTCTCCCCAAGTTAAAGCTTTGTTCGCTATTTAAACTTGGTCGAATGATGGGAGGAGTGTCGTTTTGGATGGGGTCACAAAAGAGTCCTTTATAGGGTAACAATAATTTATTGACAGAATTACAAACGAACATCACAATTAACTTTAAGAAAATTACAGAGCAATACAACCTATCAGGTTCATCACTTGGTTTTTACTGAAGTATTTCTCTGGCTACTCACCAGAGGGCATCCTCGTTGCTACAGTTAGTCTAACAGTTTATATTCGCCGCAGTGTTTATATTAAAGGATTGGTTACAGGTCTAATTTGTATTTTGATGAAAGCCGGCGGAAGAATTGCAATTAAAAGTAACATGTTATAAGGTGTTTCTCCCACTTTCTTGGCATGCCTTCGTGGTGTAGTGGTTCTGCACGCTGGGCCGGTATTCCAGAGGTCAGTGGTTCGATTTCCGGCGAAGGCGTTGTTTATTTTTCATCTTCCTGCTTCCAAAATACCTAATGGCTCTACAGTGGCGCCCAAACTAAAAGGGTGTTGGATGATGATTCTCCTCATCCAGGATTTGGCGATTGGGTCCCCTAAAAACCCCAGTCGCCCTTTAAAAGGGGGAGTATATAAGGTATTCCTCCCGCATTCTTAGCGTGCCTTCGTGGTGTAGCGGTTCTGCACGCTGGGCCGGTATTCCAGAGGTCCGTGGTTCGATTCCTGGCGAAGGCGTCGCTAATTTTTCATCTTGCCTGATGAAAAAAAAAAAAAAAAAAAAAAAAAAAAAAACATAATGTCTTTACAATGTTATTTAAACTAAACCATCTACGTAAATATATTGCTTCTCTATTTTCAAACAAATAAACACAAGGATATCAATAACGTATCCTTAATTATTTCTGATATAATTACGTGAAACCCACTGCATATAGAACAAAATCCTAAAGTTACCGTTTATAAGCAACGGATAGCACAGAGGTTGTTCGCATATTTTTTAGACGATTCTGCTTCACTGTAAAAAAATCGACTTCTTGGAAATTTTTATTTTACCTACAGCTATATGTTTGAAAATATAAGTTTTCGTCTGCTACTTGACAGTTTTCCTTTCATGCAAAATGGAGCTTTTAAAGAAGCAGTGGATGGAAGGCTGCGTTTGTTCTCTTTCCAACGAAAGTTATTCGTACCTAGTTATTAAAAAACAACGGTTCATCGATACCTAAAGTTCTTCGATATCTAAAGCCATGGTTCATCGATACCTAAAGCTGCGGTAGGCAATATTGTCAACAAAGAAAGGGGGAAAAAGTCACAGTTTGGATTCAAGTGGAAAATTTGTTTCAAATACATATTCAAGGGGAAAACAGAATATTTCGAATGTTGCAACGGTAAGATCTTTAATTAAAAAAACCGTTAAGTCAAAGAACAGTTGCAAAATCATTAAAATGCTCACTGTGAAGAAAAAACTTCAACCGTAAAGAAAGTCATTAATTCTGCTTTGAATCGTAAAGTGGGGAAAAATATAATGTGGATCGTCTTTCCCCACGACGTATCGCTGAATACAGAGCAGGCTAGAAAAACAATGATCGAGACAAAAATGGAAAAATGTTGTCACAATGAATTAATCTTAGATATATTTAAATGACTGCGATAAAACGAAATGCATTTATTATCATCAAAGAGGAGAAAAGTATCTTGAAACATGGTTCAAAGAATTTAAAGAAAGTTTTTCAAAGGAATTTATGATTTTTGCTGGTTTCTCATATAACGGCAAATTAAAAATAAAGAGAGTGGAGAATGATGTTAAGATCAACCCCACATATTATAAGGAACATATTTTATATCCAACTCATTAATTGCTCTTTACCCATAGTGCCATCAATCAGTAGAACTCCATCAAACAGTCTCATGTCAAAATCAACCGTTAATTTCCTGGAAAAAATGCAACAAGAAACGGGTATCAAGAGATACCCTTCGCTCATACCCATATTAAATTTCCTGATATATCAAACCATAGATTTTTGTGTTTTGGACTTTTAAAAAATGGACCTACAACCAAATGCGGACCTACAATCTTCCTTGGACTTTGGAAAGTTGATCAAGAGGAATGGTTTAAAGCAGGGTTTCTTAAACTTCTTTCAGTCGCAACCTCTTTTTATCACTGAGATTCTTTCGCGACCCCCAGGACCCCATAATATTTAGGAAAATTTTGTGGGACCCCAAACACTGCGCAAATCCGGCACACGCGTGTGTGAAACTGACAATTTTTTCACTTGTCTGTAATATACTATTGCAGTTTTAGGTTATTAACTTTAATTTCTAATTTTATGTGATAGAACAACGTGAAAATTTTAAATAAGTAACAGAAGAAATGACAGCGTCACGTGCAAAGAAAGTAAAATGAAAGTTTCTATTATAAAAAGAATGCGTTGAAACGTTTTCCTTTTTTCTTTGTCTGTATTGTCTTATATTTATCTATTTTCAGATAATTGTGTAAAAATATTTGACAACTGTAAAATTATTATAATTTAAAGAAATATCAAAACTGCTAAATTTTTGGCGCAACCCATAGTTTAAGAAACGCTAGTTTAAAGTACCGCTTCCGATACTTCAAGAGGCTTTGTTGCCTTGGACATTATAAAAAGATAGTGAAGAATAAGTTATCAAATAGAACCTTTAGAACATAAAACCTTTAGGTAAAACACTTCTTTAAATAAA